CTGATTTACTGGTAGTCTCGGAACTCTACTTCAATGCGAAAAATTATTATTTATAGAAGTTGTCTGATCTTGTTTTCGCAACTTGGTCACATTGTGAGGAAGACTTGGAGGAACAAACCTAGTCCGGAGATCACGGCTGATTGCCTTTCATCTGCCATTTTACGTCGAGGATGTGAAGAGCGAGATGGTGTGGTGTTCTATTGTCTCCACTTCTTGGTTCATCAGGGAGGCCTTGTAGAACGGGCCTGTGTCCTCTGTATTTTGGCAGCGGACTGTTGATTTCGTACAGCTCAGAGTTACAACTTAGCACTTATCACAACTTGTAACTATCGCATAGGACATAGGACTGGGTGCGCTCCACGAGGTCTCCGGCCAAGTTGTGAAGGCAAGGTCGAGTCGGCATTATCACTTAAAATTGAAACTTTAACTTCAGTCTGTAGCTTGTGATAGTGTGTGTTCGTGTTGCTTATCACGATAGCCTTCATTCAACATCAAGTCAAGTAGTCTACACTTCAGGCAATGTGTGGTGGTGTTGATAAGTCTCCGATGCGAGGTTGAAACTGCAATCCATTCTGAATGAAACTTCTACTACCAGTCCTTCCGCACTATAAATGAAATTGGGTGAATACATCTCATATTACTGATTTACTGGTAGTCTCGGAACTCTACTTCAATGCGAAAAATTATTATTTATAGAAGTTGTCTGTTTTCGCAACTTGGTCACATTGGGAGGAAGACTTAGAGGAACGAACCTAGTCCGGAGCCTATTGTATGCATGATCATTTCCAAAGTCGGACTTTCGCAGACGTTTCGCCGCCATCGTCAGAGACTTCTCTCTTTGACGAGCTATACTATGGTGCAACGAATGGCGAGACTCACTGACGCTGCCGCTGAAACGTCTGAGAAAGTACCACGCCACGGTTCGACTTTGGCAATAATCATGCATACAATGGACTCCGGACTACCAAGTTGCTAAAGCAAGGTCAAACAACTTGTACGCAACGAAAGGAGACTGTAACCACACAAAAGACCACACCTTCGAATTATTATTTATGTCTACACTCCTGAGCACTCTGTTTCGCCACACGTCACGACCACTGTATGTTCACATGGCCACTCTTTGGCCAGTCGATCCCACTTGCCTGCCTTGATGGGTGCCATCGCTGGCGTGGGTGCGCCTGTTTCGCCTCTACTTTGTCCGGTGGCTGCAGCTCATTTGACCGATTTAATCCGGACCTCTGTCGCAATGTTGTCTGGATTTGCATTTGCATTCGTTCCTCATTGTCTGTCTACCGTGCGCCTGACTGGCGCTTTGGATCGACTCCATCGGCAGCAAGCCTCCAGCTGCGGACTGCTTTCTCGGCTAAGCCCAAATGTCGGACAACGCACTGGCTTTGCCATCCACCAGCGCCGCGCTCGAGTGTGCTTCCATGCGTGATTACGTGCGTGTACATTGCACACGCTAACACGTCACGCGGCCGTACACGAGCAGCGGAGGCATCTTGTCTGGCCGTCTTTTTCGGTGGGTACATTTCACTCAGCACACCGCAACAACGGAGCGCACAGACGTGCACGCATTTGTTCACGCCTAACCGCTCGTTGTCCTCGAATTGGCTCACTTTCCCTCGCGCAAGGCCAGACGCATGCTTCCCATCCTCTGATCGGGGTTGCTGCTCGCATTCGTACCCACGACTGGGTAGATGCACACCGCGTAAGATACGCATGCGTACACAGTTTGGCAAAAACGCTCTCCTTTGACACAGACAGTAAAGTCTCACTCAGTAGTCCAGTGTAGACCAAGTCTGTCTCGGAGCCTCGGGTCGATTTGCCTCACCCAACCAACTTAAATGTCTCATTATGCGAGACAGCGAGAGGTAGATGCAGAGACAGACAGCACGGCGGCCAAGGGGCTGTGGCGAGAGGAGGGATGCAGTGAAGGCGAGAGAGATGGACTGCAGCGAGGCGACATCTAGGCCCTAAGACCTCTATGACGCGATGTAGCTGGGCTGGTCTTACTGAACAATCAATGCGCTGTATGAGCTGGGGCTAACTTTTATGTTCATTCCAATTCACCGACCCGTTATCTGCCGACTGTCGTTCGTGCTCAAAGTGGAGCCGTGGGCTTGTGGATGATTTCTGCCATTTTGCACTCGTTCTGGTCCCATCTTGGACGTGCTCTATCGATAGATCCTGGCTGGGTTCGCGTAAAAAGTTGTAAATGTCTAAAGATTGTTTCTCCGTTTGGTTGGTCGAAGTATCTACAAATGCCTACAGAAGCGTCGTGTACCTCCTTTGGAGGTGTAGATAGCTTGACTTGGGAAGCTGGATTGTTAATCTGTTTTTCCGGTTATAGGATTCGTAGATCGATATCACCACAAGACCACGGCTGATTGCCTTTGATCTGCCATCGTTTGATGCTGCTGCCATATTACGTCGC